GCATCACTGGCAGCATCTGCTGCCCCATGGCCCAGCACTGGCACCAGTGTCATGGCAGGGCCAGCCTGTGCCATCCCTGTCCAGGGGGTCTGGGGACACCGGGGTCAGGGTGTGCTGGGGCCCTGCTAGGTGCTGGTGCTGCCGTGGGCTCTGCATTGTGGTCATGCTGGTGAGGCTGGGGGGTGCCCAGCTGCCTCCATGCCCTCAGGGGCTTCCTGGAGGGTCCCAGGGGGGGTCCCAGCCCACCTCATGCCCTCAGGGTGGGATGTGCTACTGGTGTGCCAGTGCAGCCAGCACATGCTGGCAGCGCCCAGCTGGATCAATGGTGTTTGACCTTCAACTACATAACAAATTATTGATCGTGTCTGGGAACACCCCTCACTGCTGGGCAGGGGTAGGCGGCACTGGGGGCTCCAGCAGAGCTGTCACCATGTGTCACCCACCATGCCAGCCCTGGCCACCCTCCAGTGCATGGGGCTGGTGGGGTGGGGGTCTGGCAGCCCACCTTGGTGGCCAGCTCCAGGGTGCAGGTCTCCAAAGCAGTGGGGCAGGAGGCCAGTACCCGGGACACCCTGCGTGGGCCAAGGGGGCAGTCCTGGGGCTGACACTTGCCCCCACAGCACCATGCTCGCCACGGCGGCCACCGTGCGGATCCTGATCAAGGGGGGGAAGGTGGTGAATGATGACTGCACACTGGAGGCCGACGTCTACATTGAGAACGGCATCATCCAGCAAGTGGGGCGTGAGCTGATGATCCCTGGTGGCGCCAAGGTCATCGACGCCACCGGCAAGCTCGTCATCCCTGGTGGCATCGACACCAGCACCCACTTCCACCAGACCTTCATGAACGCCACTTGTGTGGATGACTTCTACCATGGCACCAAGGTATGGCCTGGCCCCACATACCCCCCCGCCTCCCAGCAGCCTGGCCCCCTGTTCCCATCCATCAGGTCCCCTCCTTGTCAGCATCCCGCCTCGTCCCCGGCAGCGCTGGAGCTGCCTGGCTCCCGCACCACACACAGAGCAG